CCGCGTGACTGTTTGGGTGGAGCTTTCTACTATTTCTACTGCTTGGGATCCGCCGGGTTCCTGCATCTGAGAACTGAGGGCTTCCATCAGTTCTGGCAAGTTCTCGGCTTGTGTTTCTTTGGACTCTGTCTCCATCTCATCTTAATTACTCTTAAATCACTAAGTAAACGTTTTATTAAACTCCCTCTCTTCTCCTTGTCTCCTAGCCTATTTCATGTTTCCCAGCTTTGTGCTTCTGTCCTGCATTCTGGAATCATTTCTCCAACCAGTTCCCCAATTCGTCAGAAGACACACTCACGAATTACCCTTTGGAATATCCTGTTTTTATTTTTAGAGCTCCTCTTTTGCAAACCTGCTTGATCAATTTTATGGCCTCTTACTTCTCACTCATAAATTCCTTGCTTTATTTCTTTAAATATATTAACTACATTTAGTTCATACTACGTGTCTGGTTACTCCAAAGCTGAAAATTCGTGGATTTGGTTCTACTGTTTCTCTGCTGGCCCTTGCTCGTGGCACTGTATTTTGTCTTTAAATTTTCTCCCTGTATGATGATGATTTGACATGGTAAAAAACCTTTCTGGCTGGGGCAGAGACTGCCCTTCCGAGGTTTAGCCAATCCCTAGAGATGAGACGGGCCCAGCTGGGGCCCGCGCCGTGCCCACTCGCCAATCCAGAGCCCCCAGCAGGCGGCATTCCTGTGCCTTCCAGCCAGGGCCAGGTGCCAGGCAACCAGGGACCACCCTGTAGCTTAGAGGCCTGAAACTATTCCAGCTGGCCACCCTAAACAGAGGAAAGCCCAGCAGAAGGCCGGGGCCTAGGTTCTCCCTGGCTCCCGGCTGCAGCTGGCATGCCCCCCGGGGCCGCGTGGCGACCCCCGCTCGGGGCCTGCGCCCTCCTGCATGTCCTGTCATGGCTGCACCTGACTCACCACCTCGTACGAGAGCACGGAACACGGAGCTTGCGTCCCTGGGGGGTTAGATGACGCTGACGATGACTTCACAATGAAGTACGCTTCTTTGGACGTTTTCTCTCCGAGGCCTGACTTGGAGGTGGGTTTCTCCAAAAGGTCTACACTGGGTCTGCCAGGCTCCTGGAAATGCTACCGACCGCGGCTACTCTTTCTTCTTTTCTAACTATGATGTTCACTTTTCAGAACCTCATACTGTTTTGATAAAGCAAACTCAAAGAGACACAAAAACTAGGAGAGCGTTTTCCAGGATTCTGTGCCAGCTTTCTGCAGCGCTCGTGTTCCTGAAGCCGGTGGGTGGTAAGGTGAGGATGGGACACTGAGCCCCACGGCCACCTGTGCCACGTGGCCCGTTCCCCAGGCCCTCAATGCCGGGCTTTCTGAAAGGATCAAAGGTCACTTTTGTGAAAACTGATCTGGTGTGTCCAAAGGAGGCAGTACCTTTGTTGTGAGATATTTTCTTTTTTAAAGACACAGAGAACACAGAAAGTGCATTTGTTCAAGCTGAATCAAGTATTTTGAGATACCAACACCTGGACAGGCCTGAAGACACTTAGGGGACACAGGACAGCTCAAGTGGCGTCTCACTCTGGAGCTGCCAGAGCTTAAAATAGCGTCAGGCCCGGCTGCTTCTCAGGCTCACCTGCCCGTCCCTGACCCGGCCACACACGGAGGACAGGTGTGCCCTGCTGCCAAGGCTCCAAGGCGAGGACGCCTTGCGACGGGCTCGCGACCAGACACGTGCAGGCGAGGGTCTGGGAGTGTCTGAGCTCTCGGCACAGATGCTTGTTCCCGGGGCAGACGCCACTCACTCCGGAGACCCGGCTGTGTCGCTCCCGCTCCGGGTCACGGAGGCCGTGGATGCCTGTGCCTGGCTGTACCTGGAGAGGAACTGGCCTCAAGGCTTGATCCAATGTCTGCATGTCACATCAGAAGCAGCAGCTGGCAGGGCTGAGAGCGTCACAGTGGCACCTGCTTAGAAACCGCCCTAGGCTGGAGGCGTCCAGAGCACGAAGCTCTCTCAGGAGACATGCCTCGGACCACCCGGCTCTCAGGACGGCGGGGGTGCCAGGACCGCCGGGCTGTTACTTTGCCCAAGGGGCAGAGTCCACTCGGCCGGTCGGGCCCTCACCTCCCACTCCTGGGTCTGGCCGGGGTGCAGCCAGGCCCCTCTCCCCTCCAGCACGCCTGGCAGCTGCGCCCTCCCCCTCCTCCTGGGTGACAGCAAACTGCACTTTGGATGAGAGCAGACGCTGGACCACTGGCCCGTGACCACGCCACTGCCGGTTCTTAGGGGGCCCCGCAGCCCCTTCTAAGCACCAGGGTGGCCGCACAGGCTCCCCCTGCTCAGCTCCCCGCTGCCCTCAAGTCCAGCTGGGCGGCCTGAACGCCTGCCCCGTGCCTGGGCCCTACAGAGACCAGCTCGGAGCCAGCAGGGCTGCCCCCAGTGGGCTCAGTGCCAGCCTGAGAGCCCTCCCTGCTCCCAGCGATGCCAGGAACTCTGCTGAAATGCTCCATCTGGCGTGTCAGGCGTTCTCCAGGCAGGGCTGTTCTGTGTGTTCGGTCTGCCAGATCCCAAAGCCGGCCCCCTCCACCCAAAAGGAAACCAGAGCTCTGAACAGGCTGCTTGTGCGTCACACTTTAATAGACGCCCCGTAACACGGAGCTCACATTGCAACGGGACACGTAAAGTTAGTGGTTGAAAAGGGGGCCACGGCCCCACCCAATAGCAAGTCACACTCTGACTGAAAACACACGGCTACAGCTACGTCTGAAAAACTGCAAACAGGAATCATGCGGAAGCCCCGCGCTGCCAGGCCCCGTCAGTGGCAGAGCTGGGGAAATGTGGGCGCGGCTGTCTGCAGCCCCTCGGGGCACCCTGTGCGCACAGAGGTACAGCTGGTTCGCGTGTCCACGGGTGCCCGGTGCCTCCATGTGCCGACACCCCCAGCCTGAGACATGCTCCAAAGCGAGCACAGGGAAACGATTCCCAAAGGCCGACGTGGGGTGCAGAGATCACCTCCCTCCAGGCCCGTGGAGGGCAGCGTGGGATGCCAGGGCCAGAAGCTGCCGGCTCTGGGCAGAGGGAAGCTGACGCCATCCCATCCTCCTCTGACAGACTCCACATGGAGCCAAATACGGGGTCTGGTCCAAGGTGGGCTGAGGCCACTTTCTCCCCTCCCTGGGCCCCAGGAAGGTTGCTGCTGCTCCCCGCCGCAGAAGAACATCCGCAGGCAGGGAAACCCGTGGCCGTGGGACCCTCCTCGGGGAGCAGCGGTGGGGCCAGGCACCACACCACGCCAGGCCTGCAGCTCCGGGCCGCGCAGGAGCACAGGACTCTCCCAGGCGGAGTGTCTCAACAGGGCCACTGGGGGAGCGGGGCTCCCAGCCTGCAAGGCACAGCGGATGGACCAGGAGACACTGGACAGAGGCCTGAGGCACCGACCGTTCTGGAGGCCTCCCACAGCCAGAAGCATTTCCGGGCTACTTGGTGGCCACGGGCCACCAGTCTGGCACAGACGCGGTTAAGGCCACTTGGCCACTCTCGGAGGTCCGGATGTGGAGAGGACCCTTGATTTTCTCTGACTGCAGCAGGGCCAGCCCCACATCCCCCTGGCCAGCCCTGAACTTGCCAGCCGCTTGTCCCGACTCAGTCAGCACGGGCGTGCCGGGGGCGATGCTGCTGGCGGGAAGGGGGCCCGAGAGACGCACAGGGAAAAGGCGCTTCCGGATGACGCCCATGTGGTGGGTGCGGGCTGTCAGCTCCTGGCCTATGTAGCAGCCCTTGGTGAAGCTCACGCCGTTCATGAAGGCCAGGTTGGACTCCAGGGGCAGGGCTACCCCTGGGGGCAGGTCGCGCACCCCCTCGGGAACGCCTGTGGAGACCGGAGGAGAGAAACCAGAGAGAAATGAGCTCGGCCCGCCCAGCCCTGCTGCCCGCCCTCTCCTCCCACGGAGCCCCACGTGCCTGGCCGCCCTCACCTTGCCGGTACCGGAGCTGGTGATAATCCCAGGAGTCCCCCAGCCGGCCCCGGGGCACCAGGGCCGGCCCCTCCTCCTGGGTGAGGAGCCGCCAGCCCATGCGAGCGGTCCGGGGGTCGCGGGTGAGGACGGCGGCAGCCTCCGCCTTCTCCTGCAGCGGCGCGGCCCCGCCGGCCTCAGGGGCGCTGGGCAGCACTGCCCACACCCGCAGCTCAGGGTGTGGCTCCACCGTGACCTTGCGCCGGATCTTGTACAGCGTGAGGTGCTTCTGCAGCGCACCCAGTACGGAGCCGTCACACTCCAGGAGGAAACCCGCCGCGTCCTCTGCACGCTCCTGGAGCCTGCAGGGAGAAAGGCAAGGGCGTATGGGGGCGGGCAGGGGCCCCGCCCACCGCCGGCTCTCCAGGCCCCCAGCGGGGACCGATGCGCAGAGAGCCGCACCCCAGTGCGCACAGGGCTGCGTCCGTCCGCAGTCACCTGCGGCCCGGCGCACCGCAGGGATCAACGCGCAGCAAGCCGGGCCCTCGGCCACGCCGGACTGTGCTGCGAGGGCGCGCGTCATCCTGGGCAGAAAAGTGCGCCCCGAGGCACCAACACGCAGCGAGTCGTGTCCACAGCCACGTGGTGCTGCGCCTTCCAAGCGACGCAGGCAGACAAGCCACGGAGACCAACGCACAGAGCTGCGTCCACAGCGACACCACCGGGCTGCGCCCCCAGAGCGCGCGTCAATGAAGGCCAAGCCCATCAGGGGACCAGCGAGCAGAGCCCTGCCCACAGCTGCGCCCCCGGAGCGTGTGTCTTCGGAGACAGGAATGCACCCCTGGACCAACAGGCCGACAGCCGCAGCCACGACCACGCAGGCCTGCGCCTCCAGAGCACGCCTCCGCGCTGGCAGACAGGCGCACGGCGGGACCGTGCGGCAGAGAGCCGCGCCCGCCGCCTCAGCGTTGCACCTCTGGTGCGCACGTCTATGCGCACACAGACCCCGCCTGCGTGCAGAGCTACAATAGCCGGCCAAAGGGCATCACCCGTAGTCGCTGAGCCCAGGGCAGATGTGACAGAAGGCAGTTCGCCGGATGCAGGAGCCACGATACGACGCGCAGGACGGGACAACAGGGCCCGGACAGCTACCGAGGAGGAGCCCATGCTCAAGGTGAGGTGGAGAGCTATGAACAGCCACCCGGGAGCCGTGGAGTGACAGCCGGAGGGAGAAGCTGGGAGGCCAGGAGAGGTCAGCCTGCCCACAGCCACCACCCCAAGGCAGGTCCCAGAACCACCCTAACCTGTACTCTGGGCAGCCCAGGAATGACCCCATGCAGACGCACACAGAGCTGGGGCTAGGGCAGGGCACGGTCATGGGTGGGGGATGCTAAGTGGGGACACCACGATACAGCTGATCACATGGCTGGGGCCTGGCTTGTAGACATGGCTGGCACAAAGGTCCACGCCTGGTGGGAGCGGAGACAGGGAGGTGGGTGAGAACCCCGGGAAGGGCACACAAGAGAGAAGAGCCCATGGGCGGTGCCCCCAGCCCCTCCCAGGCAGGGGAGGGGTAGGTCCTTCCCCAGGGAAGCCACTTGCGCAGCGGAGAGCCGCCCGTGTGCAGTCTCACCCCGCCCTGTGGTCTGGCCCGTGTGCAGCACACACTCATCGCACAGAAGTAGCGGCCACAGGTCTCACCGAGGACACCGTGGGGAGGGTGGGACACAGGTGGCTCACCTTCTAGGATGGCAGTCACAGGACATCAAAAGTGCCGTCAGCAAGGGGCAGAAGCAAGCACACCATTTGCGAATGTGCGGTTAAGATGCCAGGAGAGGCCAGCCGTGGTGGCTCGGGGCCGTACTCCCTGCACCTTGGGAGGCTGAGGCAGGAGGATCACCTGAGCCCAGGAGTCTGAGACCAGCCTGGGCAACACAGCAAGACCCCAACTCTGTAAAAAATTTTAAAAATAG